GCCGCAGAGGGCAGCGCCCGTCATCAAGATCGACGACTTGCGAAGCCTCTCGGCGCTTCGCCCAACGGGTCGCGACGTCGGCAAGGCGTTTGGCGACGCTTGGCGCCGAAACGCTTTTGGAATACAACTAGGCCCGAAGACCGAAACGTGAGTAATTGGCGCATAAACGGTTAATTCATGAAATAAACCACACGTTTTGACTAAAGCTGAAAGAATGACAACGATCGGATCATGTAGGACGTCGTTTAGCTAATGGAAGCAAACCGGCGCGGCTGATGGAAAGGCGAAGCGCCACGTTTTCCACCGAAACGTTTTTCACTCATGTGTGTTGGCATTGACCATCAAAATGTTTCAAATTTGGCGCCTCGTTTCGAATAAAGCACTTTTGATGTTCTTTGAAGGTGTTTCAGGGGAAAGGATTATACACTTCAAACTTCCCGCATAGAAGTCTTATTTAATCAAAAAAAGCTGCGCGAGTTACTTCCCGGTTGGCCAAATACTCACTTATTTCGTACAAAGTTCCTTGACGTAGATTGTCAACTGTTTCCTGTTAGTTCGGAGCGTCACCGAAAGATTGCATCAGCTCCTGGGCAGCCCCGCGTAATATATACCATTGTCAAATTTCGGAGAACCCAGCGATTTTCACTTCAGACGCCACGACGCGTCACAAGCTCGCATTGTCATTTCGATGCAGTCGTAACGTGAAGTAAAAATGAAGAAATTAGTAAAGAAACGTTTGATTTCGTCTTAACAGAGGTAACCATTACAATCTCTTCAAAACTCGTTGATTCTTTCTCCAAGTAACAATCTTGGTCAATTGTGTGTCGTTTCTTTTCCAGAACACTCTTGACTGATGAAAAATTATCGATGTTCCTCGCAGCTTCTGCTAATTGCTCTCCCAACCTATCTTATGAGTATTTCACAGCCTCAACAATGTGATACAGCCAAAGAAACATGGCTGATTCGCGAACTAGCCGATTCATTTCCACGTCAACCATTCAATATTTTTTCTTATCTTCATAATACATTATTGGTACCTCCCACTTCTCTTCCCATAATCACAATATCATCCATGTATGTTAAGGAACAAAGGAGACTGGAATGTGATCTTACGGGACGGAGAGGGTCCTATGGGAGTTAGAAATTGTGTGCGAAAATTCGCAACTCTAGATCCAATGGAATGTGTAAGGAAATAAGGGACTCGAATAAATATATTTAAATATAATAAAAGGAAATTGTAGAATAAGGTTAGCGAGATTTATATTAGAAAATGAGGTTAGATGCAAGGGCGGACTGGGAAGAAACGAAATACAGGATATGTGAGCGGGAGGAAAAGTTAAAGGTCATTTAATGGAAGGTCAGGGTCGATGGTAGATATTAGGGAGAGAATGAAGAAGGTCGTATAGGATAGTGGGGAAGGGAAGAGAGAGAGATGAAAGTAATTGAGGTATCAAGAAAAGCACAAGGAAGGATAGCTGGAGGCAAACAGTTAATGGAAAATGTTGTAAAGGTGAAAACCCCCGGTCAATAGTAAAGTACGTAAAATATTGTAAATAAAATGGCAAGGTATGTAAAGTTGAAAGTTGATAAGTAGAAAATGAGAATCTTAACTATATCTCTGAAAGAAGATCGTTGAAAATCGACATGAACATAAACAACAGGTGAATACAGAATAACAACCAAGTTTAAATATTGACATGATCGGAATGTGTTATATGTATACCCTAAAATAAAAATCGATTTTTCAGATTAAGCAAACTTTTCTAAC